CTATGAGATTTGAAAAATGGTTTCATGTCTTGCTTCTTAATTAATATCAAATAATTATTTATAATTTCTATATAGAATGTTTAATTTTAAAGTTATTTGCACCTAATCCAAATAACCCAAATCATAGATTGACATGGCTTATGTACACGTACGCATCGCACGGATACTAATACTAATTTTATTAATTCATCCTTCGCATTATATGTGTTAGTATTTTCTTATTAATTAACCCAAAAAATTGTACTCCCTCCGTTCCAATTTATGTGAATTTATTTCCTGTTTGGTCAGTTCCAAAAAGAATGACCCCTTTATAAATTTGGAAACAATTTAGCTTAAACTTACATTTATACTCTTAATGAAAAGCTTTTGTAGCCACACAAATACTATGGGCCCTTTTTTGACTTGTTTAGGACCACAAATTCCAAAAGTCTTCATTTTTTCTTAAACTTGGTGCCTAGTCAAACAGGTTCACATAAATTGAAACGGAGGGAGTAGTATATTTTTATATTTGAAGACAATTTAATTGTAAATTTTTTTGTTTTATTTTAAATAACATATTGTTACTGTCACACCTCCTTTTTTACACACCACCCCCGGAAGAATAGTGTATAAGGGGATTTTTCTACTTTAAGTGACATTATTCAAAATGTGATTATTTATTTATCAGAGTCGCCACTTGGGATAGTTTATTTGGTGTCCCAAGTCAGCGGTTTATTTTGAATCCCAAATCGAGGAAAATTCGACTTTCCTTGTGAAGTCTGCGAACCAGAAATTCTGAATAAGGAATTCTGTTAACCCGAGGAAAGGTGTTAGGCACCCCCGGATTCCGTGGTTCTAGCACGGTCGCTTAAACTATTATAATTGGCCTATTATCTGATTTTAAAACATGTTCAAACCTATAGTGCAATTTTAAATTATTTACCGCTTTTAATTAATTTTAAGGAAGATTGGACGCCGTCTAAAACATGTCTTTGGATCGCGTCACATGAAATGAACCCGCAATCCGAAATACATTTTATTCAACGTTTTAGGATTTGGATTTGGGTCACATGAAATGCTCACCCGAGTTTAAGAAGGTAATATTATTAAAAGACGCGCCTAAAGCAACTACGCGTTGTTAACTTTGCGGGGGCCATGAAAATTCGCTAAATGGCACGTCCCAAGTTCTAAGTATTTTAAAGAAAATAATTAAAGAGGGCCACGCATTTGTGATTTTATTTGGCGCGGCGCACCTCAATTCCATTTTTTAAAGAGTGTCCTAACTAAAGCTCAGAGAGTCATGAACTATTATTGTATATGGTTCATCCCCATTCTAATTAAGGGACTTAAGTAACCAACACTAGCTATAATTAACGTTTTAATTAATTAAATAAGGGCTTGCATGGGAAAGAATCAATTGTTTGAATTAAAGGGGGACTAAGCCCATGACAAATAGCCAACAGCCCAATAAGAAAGAAAAATATTTGACAGAGACGGCAGGTTTGGGCCCCAGGATCAAGCCCAGATCCGAACAAGGACAATTTCAATTTGAAGAGGTCCTTAGCTCGAGTCCACCACTTAACTTGGAAAGCCAAATGCGCACATTTTAATTTTTAAAACCATTAAACAAAAAGAAACAGTGATCCAAGGCTTTCAACGTTTTGGGCCTAAACCAAGAAGTCACATTTAATAAAAGGAAGAAGGCTAATGTTGTGGAATTAAATTTGGGTCTAGCGTGGGGCCTGGCAACCTGCACTGCCTTAAAAATACCCATTACCCAAGTTGAAACCCATGAGTGAGCCCAAATCGAAATGAGACCCGGTTCAGCTTGCAATAGGGTCCTTGGTTCGAACCCTACATCAACACAATGGGTCATTCAATTTTATAAACCAGCCACTACTTACAATTCAACTAAACCAACATGAAAATTAACAATTGCTGGACATTGAAATACCAATTAAAATTAAACAGACCACCATTCTAAAATTTGGGCTTGAAGTGAAACTGAACAGCCCATACCAAAAGCTTGCTGATTTCTTAATGGCTTGGGCTAAACCAAGGCAGCCCAATTTGAAAACATGATGCAAACGTGCTACTGGGACTCAGGATCGAGTCCCTGCAGGCAACAAGGTAATATACCCAAGTTTGGAATTAACAATGCTCTCATGAGTAGTTACATAGAATTTCAACTAAATACTTGATCTTAAAAAAAATAATTCTGGAAATCCAACTCTATCAACCAAGGCAGTAGGCAATTTTAACTTTTTAAAACCTTCGAATGACTAGCAACAAGGTGCTAATATAGCCTATTTTACACAGGAGAACCAATAACTAGCAATTTATAGCAACTTGCATATAGTCATTCACCATATGTCATCAATTGACCTCAAACTAAAACTACACAAGGTCCAAAGTATACAATAAGTTAAGCATGAAATTTCTGCAACTATAATATTCAAAGAACCTCTAACACAAATCCAAACTAACTTAAGAGATACAGTCCATAATTCATTCAGTATTACAAAATAAGTTTAAAGCTAAACTACCAAGGCTAAACATGATAAAGGATAGATTAAACTAATCTGCCATTTTATGACCCCTAAGGCAAGCATGAGCAATTTTTTATGAGCAAAGGAAAAAAAAAAAGGAGTATGGCTAAGCTATATGCAACATTTAATGCAGTGTTTCAAAATCCTTCTTTCATTCCATTTCATCAAATCTGAGTTCACTTTCTGCAGATCTCAAGAGTAGTACCTGGAATAATGGAAGCAAAGAAGTGAGGTTCAGCAAATGAAAAGCAGCAGCAACACAGCAAAGGTATTAGCCCAGGAATAAACAAGGAATGACCAGCTTTGAAGCAATTTCGAACCAGCAAAAGTGTTAAATAAAATCCAGCAATTAAAAATCCAACCAAAAGTGACCCAAACACTTTAATACCAAACAGATTCAACTCATTTTAACCTTCAGCTGTTCAGGAATTATTTTAGAGTGGGGATCTCAAGAATTTTAGAGATTTTTCTAATAGAATAGTAAAATCCTTGTATTTCTTAGCCGTCTTTATTTTCTCTATTTTTAGCTCTTCAAAAAAATCTTCCTTCTAAGGCAAGAAAGAAATGCCTTTATAGGAAAGCAAGTAGGGCAGTCCTAAGGTTTCATTTTTTGCTATCCAGCACTTTTTCAATTCCTGTTTTAGCTTAGAAATCCTTCACTTAATGACTTGTTACTCAAGTTAACTACCAAAGAGTCTGAAATTCAAAAAAGAGCCCCCCACTAGAAGCTTCCTAGACAGTTACACTAGAGATTCCCTAACCACAATACCCTAATTACCCCTAGATTGCCTTGTTTTTTTACCCCTTGAACCTCACAGAACAAATTGGTATGGGTCTGTATATTTCAAGTCTTGGGCCTCGAATCTTCAGGGCCTAAATCCAATTGAATTCAAACCCAAACCCACAACCAATATACCAAACTTATTGGTCTAAATGATCTGCTGAGTCATAGGACTCATGAGATCTTGGGCTCAACAGGAAAAACAGGAAAAATAAAAGGAATTCTGACAAACTTAGAATCATGCTAATGACTCGATACTAATATGCACAAGAAAAAATAAATTTCTGAGAACTAAAAAAAACAAAAAGAAATAAAAAGAAAAGAAATAACAGAAGATGATAAAATAGGACCTAAAAATGCAAGAAAAGCAGGAAAGATAATAAAAGAGAAAGAAAAAAAAATACCTAAACGGGCTTGGACATGAACATAAATGAATCCTCAGACCTTCAATTTTCGGCTAATTCTAACGTTAGTCGTGTGTTCTTGATAAGAACACACGACTAATGTCAAAATAAGCCCAAATCTTCCATGAAATCTCGATTTTAAAAAAATTAGGGTTTGGACTCAGATTCGAAATTCGAGGGATTTGGCTAGGATTTGAAGGTTGAGAGTTTGAGATTGGGGATGAGGAGTTCATGGTAGTCAAGGGGTGTTAATTTGGGGCTATTTTGTGGTGGCGCCGCCACCGGGGAAATTGTGGCGACGCTAGGGTTCGTGATTTCAAACTCAGATTCGAGGAGTTCTGAGTATATTTGAGGGAAGCTGGCTGTGGATTGGGGATGTGGAGGCGGAGAGGAAGCTACGGTGTAGATTTGGTGGTCATCGGAGACCCGCCGCCGCCGTGAGGCGATTTCCGGCGACGGCGTGCGGTGGTCTTAGGGCAGCGTTACAGGGGTCTTCTGGGAGGTATGTGAGACGGTGAGTGAAGGGGGGGGGGGTAGGGGGTAATTAGGACATATATATATATATTAAGTGACCTTAAGTTCCTGGCCGTTAGATCATGAAACCTCGACGACCAGGATTGAGCAAGGGAAAACGGGATCGTTTTGTGACTATGGGAGCCTGGACCGGGTTAAGGGTGATTTGGGCTTGGGGCTTGTTTGGTCCGTTTGGGCGGGTATAGGAGATTTTTGACTTGGGCCAGCCCAAATTCGGTTGTTTAAAATAAGAGACTCAATTTTCTTTTTAATTTCCTTTTCTCTTTCTTTCAAATTAAAACTAAAAACCTAAATTAACTCTTAAAGGAAAAAAAAACTAAATTAACCCACCAAATTATATTAGGTTCTAATTAACAATCACACAATTAATTAAATACCAAATTAAGGAAAACTAACAAAAATCAAGGCTAAAAATTGAGCAATATAAAAGTAAATCATTTCTTGTGATTTTTCTATTTTGTAAAACCCTAATTACTAATTAATCTAAAAATATGTAAAATTAAATCCTAAATGCAAATGCAATATATATTTTTGTATTTTCCATAATTTATATAAATTAAAAATGCACACAAAAATGCAAACAAACATGAAAATTGTGCAATTAAATCCTAAAAATCAAATAATTAAAAGAAAGATCCTAATTTTAAAAGTCCTGTATGAGTAAATCATGCGAGCCAAAAATCACGTGCTCACATTTGCTGCCACAGAAATCTCATGATAATGTTTAAACAATACCACATAGATCGAAACAAATGAAGTATAATATTTATTGATATATAAGAAAGCTAAGTGCTAACAACGAGGAAGAGTCAACTAATACTCTTCAGATCCCTCCTCTTTTGCTGACGAATTGTATATTGTTAATTTCTCAATGTTAATCCTAATCTGCTTGCATAACTGAGCAACTCCGCTATCAACTTGCAGTCACACTAGCCATGCCCAACTCAAGCTCAACTTCTTCTTCTTCTGCAAGAACTGTTTCCAGTTCTTGGCCTATCCCTCTTTTCATCTCAGTGTTAATACCAGTTATTCTAGGAGTAGTTGTTTACCAGCTCGAGTCCATCGAACCGGTTTCTTATCCAACCCATGTACTCTCTACCGACCCACCCATGGTCGTATCAAAGCGCAACAATCAGATGCTCCGCGGCTCAGAAAAGATCGGAGTTGACCAGCTATTGTCACCTGAAGACGTAGCTTACGATCCAAATTCGGGAGTTATATACACTGGCTGTGTTGACGGGTGGGTTAAACGAGTGACAGTTAATGAATCAGTGGGGGATTCGAGGGTGGAGGACTGGGTTTTCACCGGCGGCAGACCACTTGGAGTTGCATTAGGACATTATGGCGAAGTTATCGTAGCCGATGCTGACAAGGTTAGTAAATGACTGGTTGTCATCTTCCTTGTTTTGGTATATTTTACACGTATTATTTTGGCCAAATACATAAAGACCATTAAACTTGGCCCAATTTTTTATTTTGGGACATTATGGCGAAGTTATCGTAGCCGATGCTGACAAGGTTAGTAAATGACTGGTTGTCATCTTCCTTGTTTTGGTATATTTTACACGTATTATTTTGGCCAAATACATATAAGACCATTAAACTTGGCCCAATTTTTTATTTTGGCACTCTAACTAACTCTTGTTCCATTTTGGCCCTTCAATCCCAATTTTTGTGTTTCATTTTGACACAAAATTTTTTCTCCCAGGTAAAAATGCAGCGCGTGCATTTCAGCTGCTACCCCCACCCCACTGCACCCCCCTACCCCCCGCACAAAATATTCTTTTTTTGTAATTTCAAATTATTATTTTTTTTCGTTTTTTCGCCCACATCCCTGGAAAAAAATATTTTTTTTATATATTTTCAGTAATAACGATGGGTTCAACTAAACCCATAACTTTCGACGCGGAGTAAAAATTTGTATGTAAAAATTTATTAAAATTATAAAAAAAATAGATATAAACCCATAACATTTAAAAGTATAATGGGTTCTTTTGTTCCACTTTGACACAAAAACTTTTATCCCAGGTAAAAATGCAGCACGGAAAAATATCCAGCTACTACCCCCATCCCATCCCCCCCCCCCCCCCACACAATTGTTTTTTTGTAATTTCAAATTATAATTTTTTTTTTGTTTTTTCTGCCCTCCTTCCGTGGAAAAACTATTTTTTTATATATATTTTCAGTAATAACTATGGGTTCAACTGAACCCATAACTTTCGACGCGGAGTAAACATTTGTATGTAAAATTTTATTAAAATTATAAAAAAAAATAGATATAAATACATAACTTTAAAAATATAATGGGTTCAATGTTAAAAATATTAAAATTGAATCCATAGGATTTAAATTCTAGATCCGCTTCTACGTTGAGAGTATGAAATTTGGCTGAAAAAATATCCCTCACGCGCCTAAAGGGTGAGGCAAATCACACACTAAATCTAGTCAGCTTTTGTGTTAAAGTGGAACACAAAAATTGGAGTTGGAGGGCCAAAATGGAACAAGAGTTAGTTAGAGTGCCAAAATGAAAAATTTAGGCCAAAGTTAATGGGCTCTATATTATTTTTTTTAGCTGTTTAGATCTTAGCTTGTATACTACTCGTAGAAAAAATGATTTTAGAGTCACCTGGACCACAGTGTAGCGCTAAATGGTGGGTCGTTGGCCCAAATTTGAAAAATTACGTATTGAATTACAGTGTAACTCGTATGTATCGTAAATAATGGAAGCAGTTGCATGTGCTGTATTTTGTTTGGTCCTCTATCCCATTTAAATTTATGAGAAGGTATTATACTATTTGAAAGTTGGCCGCTGTCTCTTTGGCTGGACGTTTCTCAATTTTTTTTAAAAAGCATTTGAATCATTACCAATGTTGACTTAAAAGGACTTTTAGAGGGTATTTGGCTAAGCTTGTAAGCGGGTCAAACTAGTTTATAAGCCCGCTTATAAACACTTTTTCGCCTTATTTACGCGTTTGTAAAGTTAAAAGTGTTTATAAGCAAGTGCTTATAAGTTAAAAATAACCCAAAAGCCAATAACTGGTCCCTACTCCCCCCCCCCCCCCCAGCTTATGAATTTTTAGCTTATAAGCACTTTAAGTTTCACCAAGATTTTTACTCTTTTATCCTTAAAATATTTCTTTTTAGAACAAAACTCCTAAATCGATATTCACCGCCTCAAGTATTCAACCTAAACCCCTCCCCCCCTCCCCCCCCCCCCCCCACACACATCTTCAAGTCTGCAATTCTCATTGACTATTTAAGATAAGCAAATTATCTATTCCTTTGCATACTTATATCTATGTGAGTGTGTATTAATCTTTGACTGTATGTAATAAATGTAGACATATCAAATTTTTGGTGTATTGCTTTCTAACTGTTGTGGTGATGAAGACAATGTTTGTTTCTCTTCAAATAATTTATCCTATTTAGGTTTATTTTTTACTGAGAAGCTTTTGTCAATTTATTAATTATTATAACTTATGATTATATGCTTATCATAAAATAAATTATATTTATCATAAAAATTATCTTATCTAAGCACATTTGTATTATAAATATAATGACAAATAGAATATTTTGTATTTGAATCGATCTGGAATCTAAAATTTTGAAGAAATTACGCTCTTATAAGTGTAAACAGTTCTAAGGTTATTTAAGTCATTTTAACAGAAAAAGAGATATCAGCACTTTTTTATCAAATACTGCAACAATTTATTATCAATTTCAGCACTTGTACCCAAACACGTAGCTGTTTATTTATTAAATCAGTTTCAGCACTTAAAAATACTTTTTAGCACCTAATGCTTATCAGCTAATCCAAACGAGCTCTTAGTTTTTGAATATCTAAATTTTATATTAAAAATTATAAAGAATTAATATTCGAATATACATCAAAATTAAGTAGTTTGACCCTCGTACCATGAATCCCTTCAAATAAATTTGGAATGCGGAAGTATAATACTATAATTACAACAAAAAATGTAAAACTCTCACCATTTTAGAGTAATTATACTGAGGTCCCATTTGTAATGCAGAGTGGAGATCTGAATTTTAATTGTTTAGATAAGTTAATTTCAATTAACTCGTTAGCCTGTACTATGAGGGTGTTTGGCTAAGCTTATAAGCTGGTCAAACTGGCTTATAAGCACTTTTTGGCTTATCTACGCGTTTGGTAAAATTAAAAGTGCTTATAAGTTAAGTGCTTATAAGCCAAAAATAAGCCAAAAGCCATAAGTTGGTCTCCCCCAACTTATCAAATTTCAGCTTATAAGCACTTTAGGTTTGACCAAAATATTTACTACTCTATCCCTAAAATACTTCTTTTTAAAACAAAACTCTTCGTATACTCAGTTCTTCAGCTGCTTATTATTAATTTTAGCACTTTTATCCAAACACGTAACTGCTTATTTTTTAAATCAGCATCAACACTTAAAAGTGCTTTTGAGCACCTAATGCTTATCAGCTACTCTAAATCAGCTAAGCCAAACGGGCTCATCATCTTTGAAAACAGTATTTGTAATCCTTTTGAATGAACAAATGCACACCCATTGAGCGAGCATCATGTTATGATATTTAAAATTTTGAAAGAATTAAAACTTAGTACTAGAGAAACTTACAGCTTGTTTTGGATGGTTGTTACCTATTGTTACTTTAAATACAATATTTTTTTTTATTGTTATTTAAATCTTATTGTATCGTAACATTAAATCCGTTGTTACGTAACGACAAAAAGTGCAACTTTATGTAACGACCGATTTGGTGTGGTTGCGTCGTTACCTTATTTTTTTTCCTCTCATCTTGCTTCTATATTACTAAATAATTCTATTTTATTCTTTATCATATCTTTTTATATATTAATTGTACCTCGTATCTCACTTTTTCATTGTAATATTGTAAGTTTATTCTTCATATTATTGGTCTATAACATCATAAAACGACGGCAAACAATACAATTTATCCAAACATTGTATACATCAAACGATACAGTACAATACAATACAATAGGATACAATACGTTATGAAATGATATATAACAACCATCCAAACAAGCTGCTAGACCATGAAAGAAACTTAGTACATTCCTATCAACTATACAATTCTTAGAAGAAAAAAATTGGAAAAAATTTAGACCATGAAATTTGTAAGAATGGTTTGAAAACTAAAGAAAATAAAGTTCTATATTTAACATTGTCTAGTTAAAGTAAAATTTCAGAATTGTGGATTATAGGGACAACACTTCAAAAGGAGGAAATAAATGTATATTGAATTGCTTTTGAAGTTGTAAGTAAAGAAAACTCATAAACCTTTATGTTTTTAAGGATCAAGATTGAACTGGAGATTGTACCAAGAAGCATAAGAGCAGCTTGTTATCAGTATAACCTCTTATAATTGCTTAGATTCATGAATGTTAAATGAGACAGGGCTTACTACTCAACATTACTTCAGAGGGTGAAATTAAAGTGCTAACGGAGGAAGCTGAAGGTCTGAAACTCAAACTAGCAGATGCTGTAGATATTGCAGAGAATGGCATGATATACTTCTCAGATGCTTCCTACAAATACAAATTCAAGGACTACATTTATGATTTTATTGAAGGCAGACCTAACGGCAGATTGTTAAGTTATGATCCATTAACTAAACAGACCAAAACGCTACTGCGCGACCTGTATTTTGCTAATGGCGTTGCGGTCTCTCCAGATCAAAACTTTGTTATTTTCTGTGAAACCCCTTTGTAAGTCTTCAATTCTTTTAGTATTTCTTTACCGGGCACCTTGACTTCGGTTCAAGTATTTCCATTCCAATGGTTATAAAATTGTAGGAGGAGATGCAAGAAATACTACATAAAAGGTGAAAGAACAGGATCTGTGGATGTGTTTGTTGAGAATTTGCCTGGATATCCTGATAACATTCGTTACGATGGTGATGGTCATTATTGGATTGCATTTGCCACAGTAAGTTTCTTCATGAAATTGAATATGCTAGTGTTTGTCATGAGCATATTCAGTACATTTTTGCTGATAATTACTTCACAGGCGAAGACGTATTCATGGGACTTGGCACAAAGATACCCATTCATCAGAAAGATAATAGCTATAATGGTGAAGTATGTTGGTCAACCTCATGCAGAGAAAAATGGTGGTGTTGTATCTATTGATTTACGAGGAAATCCAGTCGAACACTATTTTGATCGGGACTTGACTACGGTGTCAAGCGCCACAAAGATTGGTGACTATTTGTACTGTGGTTCTGTAAAGTCTCCTTACATGCTTCGCCTCAATCTGAAACAAAATCCTGCAGTTCATACTTCATAAAACACGATGTTTTTTAAGGCTGCAACCACCAAATAGACAAACTACATAAGACCTGTTGTAAAAGGTTGTTTTTCAGCTCCATACTTTAATAGAATGTTTACCAGTTTATGAGTTTTCTCTGCTAATAATAATTGATGAGATTTCTTGGAGTTTATGCTCGATCTGACTTCCTCAGATATGACTTATGAGATACTTTATCTGAGAACAAGATCAATGAAACACAATTACTGTTTAAGGAGAGAAACATTTCTTTTTCTCAGGATAGTCTCATATCTTGCTTATAATAAAACAGCTGAGTAGTTGATTTTATTTTCACCACTATGAAATCATCCACTTCTTGGGACCAAAATAACATGGTGCATGCGTAAACTAACAATGCAAAGTTTGATGGACGATAAATCGGATACAAAAGAAAAATATATTAAACTAGTCATAATAATGTATTATGGTAAATAAATTTGTTTGAGAGAATAATCTCCCCTAAACATGATTCTCGTAAAGACTACTGTGGAAGTGGTTGTTGTTGTTGTTGTTATTGTTGTTCTGAGAAGCATAAATCCTTAATTTATAGAAGTGTAAAACTTCTCTCAAGAAAAGAATAAGGCATATGAAGGAGATTTAATTTTTTTAGAAGTCTTTTTCCGTTCGTTCAAAAAAGATAGTACTTATAGAATAAAAGTTCAAGACAAATCCTAACACCACTTGTGAGGTTTATTCAGTTGCTTTAGGTCTTTCAACTTTCCACACATTTGAGTATTCCCTCTAGACACAATTTCAATTTTCACCCATTGTTTTAACATCGGCAGGCACACTCTTCATTGTGGCCCTCTAAACATTTCATTTGCTCAGGATCGATCGTCTCATATCTATTGCTCATATTTTCTAATTTTATTACTTTTATTTCTCTGTGACTTAGATGATCCAAATGAGGGAAGCATACCCTCAATTTATAAGGGAAGAAACCACCATTGGATACACTAGTTTTTTATACGCGCGTTGCGCGTGTACCCCATCTCAATGAGTATAATTATATTTTTTAAATCATAGTCTCGTCTCAAAAAAATTTCGATAGTGCGAAGATTCTATTCGTATCCACACCGAGACCGATCCTTGCTATCAACTCTTTGATCAATGAAACTGGTGAATAAATTGAATGTCTTTTTTGCCCTTTAAAAATAGAGTTCACGCTAAACAAAAAAGTCATTTAATTATTCTTCTAATATATAATTTTAAAATATACTACTATAACTTTATTATTATTATAATTAAATCTTTTCTTATTTGAACTTTATAAAAAGTCCTAATATTTAGGACTTTAAATTCAAGAAAAATTTGCTTTTCATAAAATTATTTACTTTTTAAATTAGTGAGCTTTAATTTACACGTAACTCTAAATTTTGAGAATATTGCTTCCTTATTAGTACATATTTGTTTAGTTTGTTATTTAGTAACAGTTAGAACGGTTGTTTCCTATTAAATAATTATTATTAAATATGAGAAAATAAATTAAAATAATTATTTTGTATAGTATAAAATATATTTTTAAAGGATAAAAAAGACAAACGATATTTAACTAATAATTTTCTTGTCTTTAATATAGTATAGAGTATAGATAAATATACATATAAAATATTAAATTAGACGGCAAATAAGAGAAGTTAAATCGGCAGGAAGGGCCTCGGTTAACTGAAGAAAAACAAAGAATAAACCATACCACAAGGTGATATTTTCTCCTTTCAAATTCCTTTTTACACTGATATGCCCTACAGATGGCAAGCTCTGTTAAAATTATAATAAACTTGTTTCCATTAGTTCACATTTGTATTAAATATGTTTAGATTAGTTCATATTAGTATGAGATGTATGAACAAGTGTAGACTAATGTGAACTTCATTATGAGATGTATGAACTAGTGTAGACTAATGTGAATTTAGTTAGTGTGTTTACATGAAGTTTAGGCTAGATACATGTAGGAGTTCTACTATAAATACCCATGTATGCTAGCCATTTGGAACAAGTCAAGTTGAATGAAAAATATCATTTCTTCTCCATTTTTAAAGTGAGTTGTGAGTGTTTGAGTGTTTTGTTGTCTTGCTCTCCCAAATTATTATTTTTTCCAACATTTGGTATCAGAGCCGGTGTGGTTGAAGACAACAAACTTGGAGAAAAGATGACGAATTCTAACGGAACACCATTCCAAGTTCCTATGCTTACAAAAGAGAACTATGGAAATTGGTGTATTCGAATGAAGGCCTTGCTTGGTGCCTATGATGTTTGGGAACCAGTAGAGTCCGGTGTTGATGAAGCAGAAGATGTCGTTGCCTCAAAGAAGAAGGATCAAAAGGCACTCACTCTCATCCATCAAGGTTTGGATGACAAGATGTTCGAGAAGGTTGCAAATGCAACAACCTCCAAGGAAGCATGGGATATTCTTCAAACTTCTTTTAAAGGTTTGGACAAAGTGAAAAAAGTTCGCCTCCAAACCTTAAGAGGAGAGTTTGAATCATTGCATATGAAGGAAAATGAATATGTTGTGGATTATATTTCGAGAGTTTTGGCTATTGTCAATCAAATGAAAAGATATGGTGAAGAGTTGAAAGACGATAGGGTCGTGGCAAAAATACTACGATCCTTAATTTCAAAATTTGATTTTATTGTTGTTGCCATTGAAGAGTCCAAAGACTTGGACACCATGACCATAGACGAGCTTTCGAGTTCCTTGCAAGCACATGAAGAGAAGTTGAAGAAACCGAAAGAAGAATCGGTTGAACAAGCGTTGCAAGCAAAATTTTCTTTCAAAGAGAAAGATGAAAGGCGTGGCTCGAAACAAAGAGGCCGTGGAAATGGAAGAGGTCGTGGTAGAGGCGGAAGAGGAGGTAGTCAACCACCTTCAAGTAGAGAAAATAAAGGCCAAGACTTTAATTCAAGAAGAGGTCGTGGAAGAGGGAAAGGATGGAGGCAAAATCAAGGAAGGTATGATAAATCAAATATTGAATGTTATACTTGTCATAAATTTGGTCATTTTTCTTGGGAATGTAAAGATAACTTTGAAGAGAAAAATAATTTTGTGGAGAGCAAAAATGAAGATGAAGATGCCACCTTGCTTCTCGCATGCAAAGGAGAAGAAAGTGCCGAGAAGCACCGATGGTACCTTGATTCCGGTGCAAGTAGCCATATTTGTGGAAAGAAGGATTTATTTGTGGAACTTGAAGAGTTGAATCGTGGCACAATCACTTTTGGAGATTCTTCACGTGTTAAAATCAAAGGAAAAGGTACGATTTTAATTCGCTTGAAGGATGGAAGTGATCAATTAATTTCTAATGTTTTATATGTGCCGGAGATGAAAAGTAACATTTTGAGTTTGGGACAACTTTTGGAGAAAAATTATGACATTCATTTGAAAGATAAAAAGTTGTTTATGAGAGATGAAAAAGGGAGATTATTAGCTAAAGTTCCTATGGCTAATAATAAAATGTTCATTTTAAATCTTCAAAATGATGCTCCAAGATGCTTACTTTCATGTGCCAAAGACTCCTCTTGACTTTGGCATATGAGATGTGGTCACTTGAATTTTGATAGCTTAAGGTTGATGGATAAAGAAAACATGGTGAATGGATTGCCAAGTATTAATCATCCCAACCAATTTTGCGAAGGATGTATCTTTGGAAAGCAAGCTAGAAAAAGCTTTCCTAAAGAGTCTTTGACAAGAGCAAGATGCCCTTTGGAGTTAATTCACATGGATGTTTGCGGACCTATCAAGCCATCTTCACTTGGTAAAAGTAATTATTTTTTACTTTTCATTGATGATTATTCTACAAAAACTATTTTTTAAAGGCAAAATCAGAGGTGTTGAAACCTTTAAAAAATTCAAGAGGATGGTGGAGAAACAAAGTGGCTATCAAATTAAGTCACTTCGGTCGGACAATGGTGGAGAATTCACTTCAAATGAATTCAAAGTTTTTTGTGAGAAAAATGGAGTTCGCCATTTTTTAACCGTGCCGAGCAAAAATATGCCAAAGGAATTTTGGGCTGAAGCTGTTGCTTGTGCGGTATACTTACTAAATCGTTGCCACACAAAACGTGTTCATGGAAAAACACCTCAAGAGGCATGGAGTGGTTTCAAGCCAAAAGTTTCTCACTTGCGAGTTTTCGGAAGCATTGCATATGCACATATACATGATGAAAAGAGGACCAAGCTCGATGACAAAAGTGAGAGGTATGTGTTTATTGGTTATAATCAAAATTCTAAAGGTTATAAATTGTATAATCCCAAAAATGGCAAGGTCACTTTGAGTAGAGATGTTGAGTTTGATGAAGGTTTTTCAAAATGTCCACATGAACATGCACTTTATGTAAAAATTGCTAAAAATGGAGACATTTTACTTGTTTGCTAATTCAAGGAAGCAATGGCTAGAGAATTTGAGATGACGGACATTGGATTAATGTCCTACTATCTTGGCATTCAAGTGCAACAAAGGAAGGATGAGATTTTTATTTCTCAAGGAGAATATGCAAAGGAAATTCTCAAGAAGTTCGAGATGGATAATTGCAATCCCGTGAGCACCCCCGTTGAATGTGGAGTTAAAATATCCAAGCATGGAGATGGAGAAAATGTAAATCCCACATTTTTCAAGAGTCTTGTTGGAAGCTTAAGGTACTTGACATGCACAAGGCCGGATATTCTTTATGGTGTTGGACTTGTGAGCCGCTTTATGGAAGCTCCTACTACCTCCCATTTAAAGGTAGCAAAAAGAATACTTCGGTACATCAAAGATACACTTGATTATGGAATTCTTTATTCATCTTCTAAGGATTCTAAGTTTGTGGGATATTGTGATAGTGATTGGGCTGGTGATATTGATGATCGTAAAAGTACTACTGGGTTTGTTTTCTTTCTTGGAAATTCTGCATTTACATGGAATTCTAAAAAACAACCAATTGTTACTTTGTCAACTTGTGAGGCGGAGTATGTTGCAGCTTGCTCATGTGTTTGTCATGCAATTTGGTTAAGAAGTTTGTTGGAGGAACTTCACCAACCACAAAAGGATGCCACAAAGATTTTTGTTGACAACAAGTCGGCTATCGAGTTAGCCAAAAATCCTGTATTTCATGAAAGGAGCAAGCATATAGATACAAGGTATCACTTTATTAGAGATTGTATATCTAATAAAGTTGTGGAGCTTGAGCATGTGAAGTCGCAAGATCAAATTGCGGATATTTTCACCAAGCCATTAAAGATTGAAGTTTTTCAAAAGCTAAGGATGGCGCTTGGAGTGATGAAACAAGTTTAAGGGGGGATGTTAAAATTATAATAAACTTGTTTCCATTAGTTCACATTTATATTAAATATGTTTAGATTAGTTCATATTAGTATGAGATGTATGAACAAGTGTAGACTAATGTGAACTTCATTATGAGATGTATGAACTAGTGTAGACTAATGTGAATTTAGTTAGTGTGTTTACATGAAGTTTAAGCTAGATACATGTAGGAGTTCTACTATAAATACCCATGTATGCTAGCCATTTGGAACAAGTCAAGTTGAATGAAAAATATCATTTCTTCTCCATTTTTAAAGTGAGTTGTGAGTGTTTGAGTGTTTTGTTGTCTTGCTCTCCCAAATTATTATTTTTCCAACAAGCTCCACATCGCCAAGCATTTTATAGTACATTTTGATTGTTAGATAGTTTATGTATTAGTATGCTTACTCCCTCATTGGAATAGGAGTAGTATATATTGTGTGAATATAACGCGTTACATGTGGTTTATATATTATATGTGCTTATCTTTAATTTGGAATGTCTTCCTTATTCAATTTCATGATTGGTCTCGAGTGATATGCTTTGTATAATATAAATTCATCTGTGCTGCTTTTGGCTAATACAAGAGTGATTTCTGTACTTTGTACTATCTAGTAATCGTTCTCTTCTTGTCTGCACAATTATTGCAGCAATTAGTTTGTGAATTCTACTTTATGTGCATGTGTCATCCCTTTAACTCTTTATCTTAAGCAACACGAACACAGTAAGGGTGCATTCGGAAAGCCTCCTGAGATTGGATTTCGGTGTAATTACAAGTAATTACATCATTTGGCTTATTTTTCAGGCCAACTGATTAGAGGAGTGTAATTTCAAATATTGAAGTTAAATATTTCAAGGTAACTATAGCTAAAGCCCTGATAGAATTTGAGTCACATAGATATGTTTGCTTTGAAGTTGATCTTTTCACAATACTGGATTGACAATAGCTACAGCCAAAGATTGACTCATTATTGAAATAAGAGTGGAATTTTTTCTAACCTTCAGAAGATGCATACAGAGGAGGACTGCTTTGTTTTACTGAACAAAGACTGCCCAAAGCCTTTGCTTTTTCCCTTAGGATAAACTTTTGTATCTTGCCAGTAGAAGTTATTGGCAGATCTTCAAAAATGACAGTCCGAGGAGCCATGTAATGAGGCAAATGATCTCGACAGTAGTTGATTATTTCTTCAGAACCAAAACTGAATCCCTCCTTCAACTTGACGAATGCACAAGGCGTCTGCCCCCAGAGATCATCTGGTCTGGCTACTACACCTGCTTCAAGGACTGCCGGATGATTGAGCAAAACTCTTTCCACCTCAACCGAGCAAATATTTTCACCTCCCGAGATTATAATGTCCTTTATCCTGTCTTTAACTTCAATGTAACCATCTGGATGCCTCACAGCAAGATCACCAGTATGAAACCATCCACCTCTAAACGCTTCTTCTGTTGCTTTAACATTCTTCAAGTATCCACTCATCACACAGTTCCCTCTAATCATAATTTCACCTAATGTCTTACCATCATCTGGCACCTTCTCCATTGTGTCAGGATCTCTTATGTCAATTTCCTGAGTAAAAAAGTGTTCCACTCCTTGTCTTGCTTTCAGAGCGAGTCGTTCATCAGGAGGTAATGATTCCCACTCTGGCTTCCGGAGGCAAGATGTACAAGGACCATGAATCTCTGTGAGCCCATATATATGAGATACAGAAAAGCCTAACTCCTCCATCTTGGAAATGATATGAGGAGGCGGTGGTGAACCACCTGTCGTAATTTCAACCTTGTGAGGAAGTGGTTTGCGGTCACTTTTAGGTGAGTTCGCTATCAAGTTCAAGACCGTTGGTGCACCACTCATATGTGTGACCTTGTGGAGGGATATATTATCAAAAATTTCCTTTGGAGAGACACGTCTAAGGCAAACGTTAGTGCCACCAAGTGCAGCCACGCCCCAATTAAGGCACCATCCGTTGCAGTGAAACATTGGAACAGTCCAAAGATAAGTAGGCATATAGCCCATCTCATGAGTAAAAGAAGTAGCAATAGAATTGAGATATGCACCTCTATGATTGAATACAACTCCTTTAGGCTGTGATGTTGTCCCAGAAGTATAGTTAACACTAATAGGGTCAAATTCAGTCAACGGCCACTTTATTGCAAAATCGTTGCATCCACTTGCCAGAAGAGTTTCATATTCATGAACATTGGGCATAGCAACAGGAGGAGGGAGGTTTTCAGGATCAGGGATTAATACTAGGAGAGGTTTTGTTTTGGCATCAATAAGAAGATCCAGTGCTCCTTGAGCAACTTCAAATAACTGCTGGTCGACGAAAATGAGCTTAGCTTCTGAATGTCTTAGGAGGACTGATACCATAGCTGAATCGTGGCGTGTATTCAATGTACAAAGCACTGCTCCTGCCATTGGCACCGCGAAATGCAACTCTTGCACTGCAGGTACATTAGGGGCTAGCGTAGCAACCTATCGAATAATTTAAACTTACAACCATGAGAAATGACTGATTAAAATGTCCTGCTTAGATAAAAGTACTGGTAAGTGATCCGACTAAGATGTTAGTAATGAATGGAATGAATCCCACGTCGGACCGGGATGAGATCCCTTTTGGGGTGTGAGTTTGGTCCCAGGCTTATATTTAACTGTTAGAAGTGATTTTAACTTTTAAGGAGCAAAAAATCGGGTAAAGTAATTACAATGCTTAGGCAACAAATTTCATCAAATTCTTGCTTCTATCTTAACTTCTCACAAGATAAAAAATATAGGAAAGAGCTTTTAATTTTCTCCTCGACGGAAGTATCTAATTATACCACTCAAAACTTGGCAAACATGAATACATCTGAGACACTCATCCATCATCCAGATTTCCTTTTTTTATATAATGAGCATAAATAGTTTTACACAAGAATATCCAGTCTTAGGGCATCTCCAACGCCAACATTTGCTATAATGCAGGTGATTTTTGGAGTAATTGGTCTCGACGCTGCCGCATTTTTTGCCGCAAAATGGGGGATGAATTTGGAGTGACACTATTCATCTCCTCCATTACTATTCCCTATTACTTTATTATTATTTTTATTATTTAACTCTTTTAATTCATCTCTTTAATCTGAATTTTACCATAATGTAATATGTATTTAATTATCTTGTATCTCAATGATTTCACTTTTATTTGAATTATTCGTTATCATTTAAAACTTTATGGTATAAAATAAGTTTACATTAAATGGTTATATAAGAAATGAATATAAATTATATGTGATGAATATGTACAACAACAAACCCAGTAGTTTCCCACAAGTGGGGTATGGGGAGGGTAAGATGTGCGCAGCCTTACCCCTACCCCTAGAAGGGCAGAGAGGCTGTTTCTGATATACCCTCGTCTAGAGAACGACCGAGAAAGAAAAGGTAATTGCAACAAGTAGAAATAACAGCAAGATGAAATAAGATCGAATCCAAGAATGCAATCAAGCTCTAGGTAGTAATAGCCATCTATGTATAAAAGATATCACACTAACACTAATGCTAGCGAACTGAGTAAGACAAAGAGAAACGCTCGACTACCTACGAACCTTCTACCCTAATTTTTGACCTTCACGCCCTCTTATCTAGGGCCACGTCCTCAGTCAGCTCCAGTTGCGCCATGTCCCGCCTAATAACCTCTCTCTAATACTTCTTAGGCCTACATCTACCCCTCCTGCTGTCCACCGAGGCAAATCGCTCGCACCTTCTAACTATTTCTCCTCTTAACATGCCCGAACCATCTCAACCTCGTATCCCGCATCTTATCCTCCACAGGGTCCACTCTCACCTTTTTCCGAATAACTTCATTCCTAATCTTATCTAACCGGGTCTACCCACATATTCACCTCAACATCCTCATCTCAACTACTTTTAGCTTCTAGGTATGAGAGTTCTTGACCGGCCAACACTCTGCTTCATACAACATAATCGGTCTAACTACAACCTTGTAAAAGTTACCTTTAAGTCTCAACGGCACATTCTTATCACACAAGACACTGAAAGCGAGCCTCCACTTCATCCATCCTGCTCCGATACGATGCGTAACATTTTTATCAATCTCCCCATTACCTTGTATTATAGATCAAAGATACTTGAAACTACCTCTCTTGGGGATGACTTGCATATCAAGCCTCACCTTCATATCCCCTTCCTGGGTACCGTTGCGGAACTTGCACTCCATGTATTCCGTCTTGATCCTGCTCAACTTGAAACCTTAGACTCTAGGGTCTGCCTCCAAACCTCCAGCCTCTTGTTAACACCACCCAGCGTCTCGTCAATTAAAACTATATCATTAACAAATAACATATACCATGGCACCTCACCTTGAATGTGTCTCGTCAATGCGTCCATCGCCAAGGAAAATAGGAATGGACTAAGAGCTGATCCCTGGTGCAACCCCATCATAACCGGAAAGTGTTCCGAGTCTCCTCCCACTACCCTAACCCGAGTCTTAGTCTCATCATACATGTCCTTAATCATCCTAATGTAGGCTACTGGGACCCCTTTAACCTCCAAGCATCGCCAGAGCACCTCTCTCGAGACTTTGTCATATGCTTTCTCTAGGTTAATCAACAACATGTGCAAGTCCTTCTTCATCTCCATATACCGCTCCACCAATCTCCTTACAATGTGAATGGCCTCCATATTCCAACGCCTCCGCATGAAACCGAACTGGTTCTAAGAAATGGACACACGGGTCCTCACCCTCACTTCAACCACCCTCTCCCGAACTTTCATAGTATGGCTTAGCACCTTAATCCCCCTATAATTATTGCAACTTTGGATAACGCTCTTTTTTTTTTATATAGAGGAATCATAGTACTCCACCTCTATTCATCGGGCATCTTCTTCGTCCTAAAAATGATATTGAACAGCCTAGTGAGTCACTCCAAACATGCCCTACCCATATTCTTCATATGTGATTAATATATAAAAAAGAAAAATAAAATTCTTTAATAGAAATAAAAAAATAAAATTTAAATAAAAGATAATGATATAATATTGAAGAGAGAGAAGAACATAAAATGAAATATTTTTTTTGGAGTAATGATTGGAGTAATTTTACTCCATTTTAAAGTTTACTTTATATTAGAGGAGAAAATGGAGGCAAGGTACCTTAGGTACTTATAAAGTTGAGTGGACTGTCTGAAAGACTGAAATTATGGGAATTACTATCAGTTTACAAACTCGCGAAGCTTCTGCAAGCTAATAAAGATTACACATTAGAAAGAAAGAACAGACACATAAAAACATTAAAAAGGAATCCAATTCGGACGTGTGAAGAGCAGAGACTCTCATGCCCTGATTAGGAGGTGCGAGAGGTTACCCATGGCGAGTCAGAGGAGGGGTAGAGAGAGGCCTAAGAAGAATTGGGGTGAGGTGATTAGGCAGAACATGGCTCTGCTCCGGCTTACCGAGGACAAAGGTGTGGAGGTCCGGAATTAGGGTGATGGGTTGATAAACATGTAGACACTAAAATTTTAACAGATCAAGAGAAATCCTAAATTCAAGATAACTCTTGAAATATTAGGAGCCTATTAGGGTTATTTGGTGGCTACTCCACCCAAACCCCAATTCATGCCTATAAATAAGGCTACGTATGTCCTTCAAAGAGGATCTCAACAATTCCATAAACTCTCGGAGTATGCACAAAAAGATCAAATATGAGATCTCCGAAATTCCATGAAACTCTTGGAATATTCATTAAGAGATCAAAGACATGTCAATATGTCTTGCTTAAAGTCCTACATTCGAGAAATACGCCGCTAAGGCCCTCGAATCACGTAGAATAAATCGGAGGGAAGAATCAAGGGATAAACAGAGTTGTAACCTACAATGTTTATCAATAAAATCCTTTTTTTCTTTATAGTTGTTTGTGATTGCAATTTTCTTTTTCTGCCCAAATTTATTGTCTACAAGACAGTCTAAGAGTTTCCCCTTGTCTTACCAGTAGTACTACTAGTCGAGTGTTTTCCTACTCCTAGTCCCTTGTTTTTATACGGTGTAGTCATTATTATCAGTATGATTGGCTTTATTCTTATAGTTTCGTATCCTTGGATCTCTGTTATTACTCGTTTATTCCATTGTTTTATTACCTTGCTATTGCTATTGTTTCTCTATTGCTTCATTTTTATTGTTCTTGAGCCGAGGGTCTTTCGGAAACAGCCTATCACCATCATAAGGTAAGGGTAAGGTCTGCGTACACACCCTCCCCAGACCTCACTTGTAGGATTTCACTAGAGTTTTTGTTGTTGTTATTGATGCGTGCGAGCGTGCACGCACGTGTGTATATATATATATATATATATATATATATATATATATAACAAATTAGAAACAAGTATAGTATTTCCCTACACCCTTTTGCATGTGTAACACAATTATAGGATTTGCGTGAATTCTCTTTTTCTTTTTCTGTTAACCATTTGAGCAGAAACATTTGGATGAGAAGAAACTTACAATATCCCCACGAGAAATGCCCAGATGAGAGAGAGCAGAAGCCAGCTTTAAACACCTTTTATGAGTCTGCTCCCAGGTGTATTTAACAGAAGAACCATACACTACTGAAGTTCTGTCTCTAAACACCTTAGCTGCTCTGTCCAAGAAACTAATTGGTGTCAAAGGAAAATAATTTGCAGAACATCTCATTAAGCCCTCTTTGGATTGCCATGGGTGAGTTTCAAGATTATTCTCACTAATTTGGCTCAGATAACGAGGCCTCTGACTTAAAATAGAGTGAACTCGAACTCTGTTTAGAGCATAGAACCATCCACTGAATTTTGGAATATTGAAGAAAGGATTCATGATTAAGATAAGAGAGAAAGAGAAAGCAAGCTAAGTTTTATTAAAGGGGGATATTCTCCAAAATGGGCGTACGTGCACATATAGATGTTTGAGAGCATGCAAATTCTGACTAAATCACAATAGCTTTGTTACGTTATTAATAACATGGCGATTGTGGATCGTACGATTTGTTCATCTACAGTATTCCTATTAGTCCTATTATTTAATTTTGTCAGCTTGTAATTTAATACACTGTCTGTATGTCTTGATGTTCATTTATGCAATCTTTGGGAACTATTGATTGGGCATCAATTATTTCAGCATTTGCAAATTATTAAATTTCATTATTTTCAAATATTATTGACCATGATTATTTGAACTTTAAATGAAATATTGAATTTTTGGTCTGAAGGTGTATATCATGTTAAATACTGATCTTTTACTAACAAATCTTTAACTTGATTTTTCCGGAGTTAATTTCATCCATGGTCATTGAACTTTTGTGTTTGTTACCCAAAAATCACTTTTTTTTTGTTACGTAAAAGTCATTCAACTTTGTGTTCATTACACAAAAGTCACTTTTCTTTCTTTTGTTACACAAAAATCATTTTACTTTGCTTTAGTTATCACAAAAGTCACATTTTTACGTGAAAAGTCTATTATGCCATTGATATTATATAAACCTTCATATTTATGTAATCTCTTCTATATTATATACTATATAATATATTTTTAACTATGTATTTTATTTATAAATAAATAAACTTAATATTCTTTTATTTATTATTTTTATAATATATTTGTATATTTAATTATTTTTCTATGTTAATTTTTAAAATATATTAGTAGCGTTATTAAATTTGTCAGTAACTTTAATATATGTTAGTAGAGAAATAAATCGTCAAGTACATTTCCGTGAGAAAATTCGCAGGTAAACAAACAAAGAAAATGAGGAAAAAATCATATGTTAATCTGAAGGAAAATCTCTAGGTACTACATGGGAATTTAGCTGGGGATATTTTCTTAGGGATTTACCCGGGCAATTGGTTATTCCGGAAATTACACTACTAGAAATTCGGGAAAAACTGTCCAAAAAAATCAACCAAAGTTGGTCGGTAATGGCCAATAACCGTCCAAACCGCGACAATTAACGTGCGGTCGGTATTTTGAATGTCGGAAGGGCATACCGACCAAAGTTGGTCAGAAATTACCGACCAACTTTGGTCGGTCAATTAAATTCAAAAAAAAAAAAAAGAATTGCTGAAAAAAATTATTTTATAACGCTACTAATATATCTTGAAAAGTAAAGTTAAGAAAAAAATTATATATAAGAATATATTATAAAAATAATAAATAAAATAATATTAAGTTATTTTATTTATAAATGAAATACATAGTTAAAAATATATTATATAGTATATAATATAGAAGGTATTACATATATATATGAAGGATTATATAATATCAAGGGCATAATAGACTTTTCAAGTAAAAATGTGACTTTTGTGATAACTAGATCAAAGTAAAATGATTTTTGTGTAACAAAAGAAAGAAAAGTGACTTTTGTGTAATGAACACAAAGTTGAATGATTTTTACGTAACAAAAAAAAGAAGTGATTTTTGGGTAACAAACACAAAAGTTCAATGACCATGGATGAAATTAACTCATTTTTCCGATTGGAGTTTATGTCGAAATACAAGTATGCAACTCTTTGGGCAACTTGAAATTACGTTTATAGCTATATATGAATTTTATAGCAAAGACACATGTAGTACTGAAATAAGGAACCAATTGTTTTTAAGTGAAACGAGTGAGCAACAAGCTCTCGTAACTTAGTTGATTAGACTTCTTGTTTAGTAAGTGAAGGTCTTGAGTTTGACTCTTAAGAAGAGTATTTATTTTTTTGTATTTCGCCTTGATTATAGTTATTTTAAAACTTTGTGATGTTTTGTGAGTGAAATAAACTTTTCGAATGAAGAGCACGTCATTCAGAGCTTCTTTTTATTTTTGAAAAAAAATCAAACAAACATAAGAAGCTGGAATATGCTTGACAGCTTGAGATAGAAATAGTTGAAAACTCTCCTTTTTTGTTTGGCTGAAAGAAAAACGGAAAGGAAAATTAGATTTATCTGTTGGATCCAAAAGTAAGATAAACTGATAAAGTAGTGCAATTATTTTCCTTTCTTTTACACTACAGCTTCCGTTCTTTTCTAAAATCAAGCATAATGAGGTTAAAGATTGTATACGTGGTACCGGCAGAAGTAATTCTCTTGCAAAATGAGAATTAAATGATAATTACTAGTATTAAATAATGCCTAGCATCCTATAGATGTTTGGTTTATTCTTACCAAATTCTTTCTTTCCCTTGTCATCAGGGGTGTATCTAGGGGGCTCCATGGGGCACGTGAACCCATGCTCCCCTTCCTAGATCATGTATAGTAATGTTATTTTTTTTAAAAAAATATTTAAATATATATATGTGCACCCAAGCTTAAAGTATCATATGATGCGATGATTATTAGATGCACTCTTGGAGTAGATTGTGCGTTCAAATTTCATGCCAATCTTATTTTACTTTTTTTAGAACTAGGCGCCCACAGGAGATGGACATGTCAGGTGTCACTTTTTACGTATTAATTAAGTACCTTCTTCTTCTTTTTTCTTTGTTTGTTTGATTTATTCTTTTAAAATTTCCTATTGAAATTCCTATTATTATTTTGTTACCATAAATTTTATATGATTAAACTAAATGTGCATATTAAAACTAGTAGCAGTGAATGATGTAGCATATAGTCAATGGATTCAACTGATCCCAACATTTTCGATAGAGAGTATAGAATATTGATATAAATATAAGAAAATTACTATATAAATATTAAATCTGAACATATAATTCCAAAAGTATAATGGATGCAATAATAGAACTAAATGTTGAATCCCTAAAAGTTATATTCTGTATTCGTCGCTTTATAATGGTGCACCCATCCTCCTATATTTCTGGATCCGCCTCTCCTAGTCATTAATCCTCATCACCTCCTTGCCTAATTTACTTGGCATCAGTGATACAGAATCATGAAAAAATTTAAGTTATATATACTGATAGTGACTCAATAATTAAAAATATAAAATAAAGAAGAAAGAATAAGAGTTGTTGTCTATTATACTAGTTTAGATTGATATGGTTAAGTTTAGGTTATTCTCAACAGTATCTTACTTTTATTTTTTTATTTTTTTTTTGTTTTAACTTAAGCGCAAGAAACAATATTTCAGACTTTTTAAAGGGACTAATATTGCTCCCGCTGAGGTTAAAATCCAAGATGACATAATATCCAAAATTTTGATATTTGTCTACCGACTACATCAATTTCCACAAGTTATCTGCTTGACACAAAATATCATAGATAACTGGCACTTTTTTAATCGTGATAATTGAAAACTTTGCGGTAATTTAAAACACACACGCGTCCGTGTATTCCTTTATTTTATAGTCATTCCCATTCATGTAGGGGATTGTTGGGCTTTTTAAGCTTGGTTTAGTTTAAAGATGGTGAATGGAAATGGAGGAAAAATAAAATATTTGAGTTTCCCTCCTTGGCAAAGGGACATTGTCCCATATTGGAGGAAGAAAAGACATTTGATGGGTATTGTCACGACCCAAACCCCGCACTGGTCGTGATGGCGCCTCTCGTGAAGACGAGGCCAGCCAACTAACCCAACTTGTCATTTCAAAAATAGTTAAACATTAATAAGCAATTTAAATGCGATTCAATGATATAACTAACAGAAGCACAAACCCGACACAGCCCTAATCGGAGTGTCACAAGTCACGAGCATCTATCAAAATGTAAATCCACTACAGGGTCTAAAATGTACAAAACCGGAATAATGAACAAAAGAGAGAGACATGGTGCTGCGAACGCTGGCAGTCACCTCCTTAACTCATGTAACTCTGCCTCTGATCGGCCAAAACCCGCTACCGGGTGAATAGATACCTGCATCTGCACACGAGGTGCAGGGAGTAAAGTGAGTACTCCAACTCAGTGAGTAATAAAGGTAAATAACAACTGAGCAGTAAGAAATCACGTAAGCAACCAACATGCTGTATAGAAGCAGAGTACAATCCTTTGAGAAAGCAATGAACTGTGAAAATCTTTAGAAAAACCTCTTGGCTCAGTTTAAACCTCTTTTGAAAATAGTCTTTTCAACAGTTGCGAAATAATTTCGAAGCAGTTAGTGCCGATATGCACAGAAATCCGCCCCTCGGGCACAAATACCACAGTATAACAAGTAAAAGCCAAGTAAGTATGCAGAATGAGCACAAAAAAACACGCCCCTCGGGCAATATCTCAAAAACAATACCAGCCCCTCGGGCTCGCTCTCAGAACACTCTCAGAACAGTATCATATCGTAACCGCTGCGGCGTGCAGCCCGATCCACATCTCGATGCGGCGTGCAACCCGATCCACATCTCGCTGCGGCGTGCAGCCCGATCCATTTCGTTGACGGCGCTCACTAGGGGTGTGCAGACTCCGGGAGGGGCCCCTTACGGCCCAAGCGCAATATCAAGCCACCTCGTGGCATATAACATAAGGCCTGAAAGCCTTCTCACATCACACTCGAGGCCTGGAAGCCTCCTCACATAACACTCGAGGCCTGAAAGCCTCCTCACATATCACTCGAGGCCTGAAAGCCTCCTCACATATCATTCGAGGCCTGAAAGCCTCCTCACATATGGCCCTCGGCCTCACTCAGTCCAGAAAACATCATAAGCCCCTCAGGCATCAATAAAATAATAGTGCTCAGCCCAAACAACAGTGGAAATATCATTTAAGTCTCAAAGTTCAATTAAAGCGGCTGAGTTTGTAAAATAGTATAATCAACAGGACTGAGTTCAAGTAGTATATCAAAATAGTGAGGAAAACAGTGATAAAAACCCCCGAAGGGTTCAGATAATTGGCACGAAGCACAAATATGGCAATCAGCCCAAATCATGATAATAACAAATAAGTTTCATTCAAAATATGCGGTAAAATCATCAATCGGAACGGACCAAGTCACAATCCCCAACGGTGCTCTACC